GAAACAATCGATACTTATAACTCATACTGATGGATTTTGTGTCCAAAGATAACTGCTAGCAACTATTGCAATTTACGCCAAGGGTAAACACTATTGATAATGTTCAACACAGCTGTTGTGATAATATGATGATAAAGAACGGATCTATATCGATCATATGTTAAAAATGTCAAGAAAAGAGACCGGGTAAATATTATTAAAGTAATTTTGTATCTCAAGGTGTTGATGACACATGACAAGTATTAAATTAAAAGCCAAAAAAGCGACAAAAATAATTTCCATAATCGTATGAAATCTCTGCTAAAAGCATATTTCATTGAAAGATTCCAACCATATCATCGGCAGGTGTTTGTGAATTACTATCAAACAGTTATGACACCATGTCTACGCGAAAAGGTGAGCATTTCCTGCTCCATCGGTTCCACCCCTCACAAACACATGCAAAGGCAAGTCAATTGTTCACGTGACCATTATGGCTCAAGACAAAATAAGGAAATTCATCGGACATCATTTCTGTCACTATCACTGATGCATCTAAAACCGATGACAAGTTTTTTTTACATGGAAAATCTTAGCGTGAAGTTCCGGGGTAGAATAGGTCTTCAGCAACCCATACTTGTCACAAGAAGCGACTAACGGAATCGGGTGGTCAAACTCGCTGACTTGGTTGATGCATGTCATCGTATGCTCATGATGTCAATCACTGAATTGTTTTGTCCAGACTCGATTATTTACAGACCGTCGTCATATAGCTGGAATATAGCTGAGTGCGAACCAACCAAAAACCCTATGTAGTGTATTTGGTCGTGTTTATAACACTGTAATCTATAGTTGAGTAATAATAGTATCTGCATGACGATAGAGGAGATCAATACTTTCCTGTTTAATTTAATGCCACACCTTTCCCTCAAATGGTTTTATCTATAACTTGTGCCTGTACAAAAAACAATCCATTGTCACTCACGAATACCGCGACCGACATTAAAAATTGAGAGCAGGTGTTGAGCCGGCACCTAGTTTACAACAGACAGCCCCCGGGGATGTTTACCATGCTGCCGTACCAGGCACAGGCTGGTGACAAATCCATTAACCTCCTTCCAGGAAGGAACTTGAAATGATAACAACACATTAGCACATTTCCCGCGCCATTCCACCAGTACAATACTTATTCCGGGGAATGTCAAGACCAAGTTGGCCATTGTCCAACAAAGTGTTGTATGGCGGCCCGAGCCCAGCCCGGGCAACTGGATACCCTGGGCCCAGCCCGGGCACTTAGATACCCTAGGTCCAGATAGGGCACTTAGATACCCTGGGTCCAGATAGGGCACTTAGATACCCTGTGTCCAGATAGGGCACTTAGATACCCTGGGTCCAGATAGGGCACTTAGATACTCTGGGTCCAGCCCGGGGAACTGGATACCCTGGGTCCAGATAGGGCACTTAGATACCCTGGGTGCAGATAGGGCACTTAGATACCCCTGGTCCAGATAGGGCACTTAGATACCCTGGGTTCAGATAGGGCACTTACAGATACCCTGGGTCCAGATAGGGCACTAAGATACCCTGGCTTCAGATAGGGCACTTAGATACCCTGGGTCAAGATAGGGCACTTAGATACCCTGGGTCCAGATAGGGCACTTAGATACCCTGGGTCCAGATAGGGCACTTAGATACCCTGGTCCCAGATAGGGCACTTGGATTCCCTGGGCCCAGATAGATCAATCAGACATCCTGGGCCAAGATAGGACACTTAGATACCCTGGGTCCAGATAGAACAATCAGTGACCCTTGACACAGAGAGGGCAACTAGATACACATGTACCTTGGGCCCAGATAGAACAATCAGACACCCTGGACACAGATAGGGCAACTAGATACCCTGGGCCCAGACAGAACAAAGAGAGACCCTGGACACAGAGGTGGCAACTAGATACCCTGGGCCCAGATAGGGCAATTAAACACCCTCGGCCTTGATAGAATAATCAGAGACCCTTGACACAGAGAGGGCAAATAGATACCCTGGGCCCAGATAGAACAATCAGACACCCTGGACACAGAGATGGCAACTAGATATCCTGGGCCCAGAGAGGGGAACAAAATACTCTGGGCCCAGATAGGGCAACAAGACACCTTGGGCCCAGATAGAGCAATAAGACACCCTGGACACAGAGAGGGCAACTAGATAACCTGGGCCCTGATAGGGCAATTAGACACCCTGGACACAGAGAGGTCAACTAGATACCCTGGGCCCAGATAGGGTAATGAGACACCCTGGACACAGAGAGGGCAACTAGATGCCCTGGGCCCAGATAGAACAATCAGACACCCTTGACACAGAGAGGGCAACTTGATACCCTGGGCCCAGATAGGGTAATTAAACACCCTGGGCCCAGATATAATAATCGGAGACCCTTGACACAGAGAGGGCAACTAGATACCCTGGGCCCAGATAGGGTAATGAGACACCCTGGACACAGAGAGGGCAACTAGATGCCCTGGGCCCAGATAGAACAATCAGACACCCTTGACACAGAGAGGGCAACTTGATACCCTGGGCCCAGATAGGGTAATTAAACACCCTGGGCCCAGATATAATAATCGGAGACCCTTGACACAGAGAGGGCAACTAGATACCTTGGGCCCAGATAGGGCAATTAAACACCCTGGACACAGAGAGGGCAACTAGATGCCCTGGGCCCAGATAGAACAATCAGACACCCTTGACACAGAGAGGGCAACTTGATACCCTGGGCCCAGATAGGGTAATTAAACACCCTGGGCCCAGATAGAATAATCGGAGACCCTTGACACAGAGAGGGCAACTAGATATCCTGGGCCCAGAGAGGGGAACAAAATACTCTGGGCCCAGATAGGGCAACAAGACACCTTGGGCCCAGATAGAACAATCAGACAGCCTGGACACAGAGAGGGCAACTAGATACCCCGGACACAGAGAGGGCAACTAGATACCCTGGGCCCTGATAGAACAATCAGACACCCTTGACACAGAGAGGGCAACTAGATACCCTTGGCCGAGATAGAACAATCAGACACCCTGGAAACAGAGAGGGCAACTTGATACCCTGGGCCCAGATAGGGTAATTAAACACCCTGGGCCCAGATATAATAATCGGAGACCCTTGACACAGAGAGGGCAACTAGATATCCTGGGCCCAGAGAGGGGAACAAAATACTCTGGGCCCAGATAGGGCAACAAGACACCTTGGGCTCACATAGGGCAACTAGATACCCTGGACACAGAGAGGGCAACTTGATACCCTGGGCCCGTATAGAACAATCAGACACCCTGAACACAGAGAGGGCAACTAGATATCCTGGGCCCAGAGAGGGGAACAAAATACTCTGGGCCCAGATAGGGCAACAAGACACCCTGGGCCCAGATAGGGTAATTAGACACCCTGGACACAGAGAGGTCAACTAGATACCCTGGGCCCAGATAGGGTAATTAGACACACTGGACACAGATAGGGCAACTAGATACCCTGGGCCCGGATAGGGTAATTAGATACACTAGACACAGAGAGGGCAACATGACACCTTGGGCCCAGATAGAACAATCAGACACCCTGGACACAGAGAGGGCAACTAAATACCCTGGGCCCAGATAGGGTAATTAGACACCCTGGACACAGAGAGGTCAACTAGATACCCTGGGTCCAGATAGGGTAATTAGACACCCTGAACACAGAGAGGGCAACATGACACCTTGGGCCCAGATAGAACAATCAGACACCCTGGACACAGAGAGGGCAACTAGATACCCTGGACACAGAGAGGGTAATTAAACACCCTGGGCCCAGATAGAATAATCGGAGACCCTTGACACAGAGAGGGCAACATGACACCTTGGGCCCAGATAGAACAATCAGACAGCCTGGACACAGAGAGGGCAACTAGATATCCTGGGCCCAGATAGGGTAATTAGACACCCTGGACACAGAGAGGTCAACTAGATACCCTGGGCCCAGATAGAACAATCGGACAGCCTGGGCCCAGATAGAATAATCGGAGACCCTTGACACAGAGAGGGCAACTAGATACCTTGGGCCCAGATAGAACAATCATACACCCTTGACACAGAGAGGGCAACTAGATATCCTGGACACAGAGAGGGGAACAAAATACTCTGGGCCCAGAGAGGGCAACAAGACACATTGGACCCACATAGGGCAACCAGATACCGCGGACGCAGAAAGGTGAACAGGATACCTTTGGGCCCGGATAGGGCAACACGATATGCTGGGTCGAGACAGACAACTGGATACACTTGGCACAGATAGGGCAACTTACTAGATACCCTTGTAGACAGGGCAACGAACCATCATGGATGTCTATAGGACAACACGACACCCTGGTTGCAGATAGGTCAAGACGCCTGGTTCGAAATACATGGTCTCAAGGAGACAAGGTACAGGAAGCCGTGCACCATAGCCCTCTGTTAGAGAGTAATCCACTGCAATACACACTGGTCTTGTCTGATCACAGCGTCACTATTCCCACGCGATGTCCCATGTAGTATTCACCGTCAGCTGTCACGAGGTGATAGAAATGAGATCATAATGCTTTTGTTATAAATAAAGGCTATGGAGAATTCAAGAACCCCTGTTCTCAATGTTACGCCTGTCAATCAATGTACGTATTTTTTTGGCGGACGATCATTATGACGGGGAGAATTTATTGCAGTGTTTGGGACACTCAGACGCAGCAACCCTTTGATCAACGATGATTCCGGATAAGCAAACATTTTATTCCGCCATCTGTTTTCACTGCACCGTGAAAAAGCCGTGATTATCACACACTGATAGGAATTTAATGTGCCCAGTATTAACAACGAGACTTGGAACACACCAAACACATAAAATAGATATTACATTTATTAATGGAATTTGAATTTGTGTGACAAATGTCAATTTCTCTGTTTTGACCTTTTTTATGACAACATACGAACATTTATTTGATGAAAATGTCTGGCGAAACATAACACCATTTATTCCCTGAACGCGACAGGATCGATTGGCTATAAATCCCAGCCATGCTTGTTAACGGAGGCACTGTGATGTAGGCGCTAGGGACGGTACTTCAGTGGCTGCACATTCGTTGACGGCGGCTTCAACCCTATTCTGCAACTTCACCGACGGCAGGTTTGCCATGGGACAAGGAGAACCACGTGATGAAATATTGCGTTTAGAACACCTACGCTCTCACTCCGTTTGAGAGAGCCATTCTGTACATGGTCCTTTCGACACGAAGTGATACGTAAGTATGCCCATTTTATGTAGGATACTTTAAAGGCGGATTCACAAGTTTGCAAACACAGGTTGGCGGTAAACTCCGAAACCTTTGCCAACTTGTGTTTTCACACGACAAATATAAATATTGTTGTTGCATGTTTCCTCTTCATTTGTCTAAAATGCCGACGCCATTTTTTAATATTCGTAAATAAAAATCATGTGATCTCTAGGCAGTTGTAAGAAACCAATTTCTGTTTGGCAACTATTCACACGTCAAAATCGAGCTCTAAAATGATGGCTAAAATATTGGTGTTGGGTTGGAGTTGGGGATTGGTCGCGGAATGTAGTTAAGGATAAGGAACCGCGTTCGGCAGCTTGACCTCTGGGAGCTTCTAAGGTGTCGGGACCGCCTCCGTGGTCTAATGGTAGAGCGTCCGCCCGGAGAGCGGAAGGTCCGGGGTTTCGATCCCCAGCCGCGTCATACCAAAAGACGTTAAAAGATGGTACTTGTTGTTACCCTGTCTGGCGCTCGGCATTAAGGGGCTAAAACAAGGACTGATCGGCTCGGAGTCAGTATACTGTGTCTGTGGTATTCATGTTAAACTGCGGCATGGTACCTCAGTGGCCTAGCACTAAATCGGCATCAGTCCGGACTAGTACAAGCAGCCACACACACACACACACATATACGTGCATGCACGTCGCAATAATCTTGGACGCGACGTTAAACCCAATTTCATCTCACCTCTAAGGTGTCGGGCAGGACCGACAGCCTAGAAGCTCTAGTCGGTCCTCCCCGAAACTGAAGCACATGGGGTGTCTCCTTAGGCAAGGGACCTTGTTCGAAATATGCCTCTGTCGCCAGCAGTGAGTGGGTACCCGGTAGAATGTGATGGTAATGTGACTACAAACTTTTAGTCCCAAAGGCGGCTTGGGTTGTATACTCCCCAGTGAGCTGAGAATTTAAATTTCGTGTACACTGACCCATTAGACGGGGTAACAATGTAGCGCTCTGAGCATGTTGTGGGTGTGTACCCGGGTTTGCTACCAGGAATACAACTCTTCTGACAATCTGGGTAATATGGCGCATCATGAATATGCGCATTATTTTTACTAACACTTCCCCGGGATCTTAATGTGGATTTTCCAGCACGCGTTTGATGTTGACATGTCGCATCTACTAATATTAGAAAATATTAGCTCGGGTTTGGTGCTGAATACCCCAAGGTTAGAATCATCGAGTGAATGAGTGGAATTACACGCCGCTTTGTATTCCATTTATACCATGGCGTGTCAGCTTGATGTGGGAGGAATGACCGAAGGGATGCAGGTCTCAGGCGTTTACCACTTTGATGAAACCCACGAGCACGGGTATGTTGCTGACAAACCTAGAAACATAATCGGGGCGAACCGTTTGGAATTGGAAGCAGAGGCACTGCTATGCCCGGCTACCTGTGACCCTTTGGTAGATCTGTAACTCAGTTTATTTCACTTGGAAATTCAAAAGTATAAAATAAAACTGTAATACAATTATGGATATCTTATAGTGGGGCCCACAAACGCGTATTTGAACATTATTCCTGTCATAATCACGGCGTGTCAGCACAATATGGACGAAAAGCCTTAAGATAGGCATGTCTTAGGCGTTTACCACTTTAGTGAAACCCACAAGCAAGGGTACGATGCATCTTCTCGAGGCAAGGGAATTAACTGACTATAGAAGTCCAAGTGGACTGAATATCTCCCTCGCCTCGGGAAGATGGGGTCTGGTGCTGACAAACCATAGTTAAAGAGTAGGCGGATCTAGGATTTGAACCCAAACTAATAGAATTCCGGCTCGCCCGAAGGATGGCATTTTTGCACAGGAATATATGACTTGTATGGATAGTGGTGTACATTTTATATAGTTAAGTTAATCCTTTAACAGGGTATTTCTATAATTCATTGCATGAAATGTATGTGCTGTACGACATTTTACAACATAATATTTTCAGTAGACAGCAATTCGAAAAATTTATAAATATCTGGTTTTCTGTACCTATAAGGGCGCAAGTGTTCTCTACGCAAATGTTCTAATTCTGGACATATAAGAAGAACTCATATTCACTTTTAGATCTGTGTGTGTGGCAAAGTTTACATTCTGTCAATCCTTTTGGTATATTTTTGTATCTTCCTTGTTCATTCTGAAGCCTATGAGAAGAACATCTTATTGGTGTAAGGATTTTCTAAATGTAAGAAGTGTTTTCAAAAGATACGCTTCCGTTTTAAACTGGGACTTGATACTTACATGGTATCAGATATTGGTGATAGTAGAAGTGTCTCGTACCATTTTTGAATATACGTATCCTTCAGTCTTTGGGGGAATAATGGATATTCAACGTTTTGGCTTTAAAGGTTTCTTTATAGACGATACCCAGTTTACATTTCCGCGACTCTCGTATGCACATCACCTTCATATCATAACACTATTTTGGATATCTATAGTAAGGCTATTGTAATAATCGTAACAAATATTTCATCATTTTTACCTGTGCATTTGACAATAGAGGGACTATATCGGTTACACCATAAACCGTTGCATTTGGAGGGTTGGTTTTAACTCCCAGAAGTCACGTTCATGCATATGTAATGTTGTCATACCTAATACCTCAGCACCATGTAACAGAATCGGATTTATTTTTCTATCAAATACTTTAAAAAACACATTAAAATGGATGCCAGCAAATGTTTACAGATGTTTTCACACACACGCGAAGTGATACTTGGCATTAGCTTCACGGCAATGTAACGTCAATAAGTAGAGATTTGCGGGAGTTGATGTGTCGTGAACACGCACTGGGTGTGGCACACACCTACCCACGTAGTCCCGCATTCGTTACACTGTTCATGTCCACCCTGAGTGTGTGAGTGTGTGTGAGTGTGTGTGTGAGTGTGTGTGAGTGTGTGTGTGAGTTTGTGAGAGAGTGTGTGAGTATGTGAGTGTGTGTGTGTGTGTGTGTGAATGAGTGTGTGAGTGTGTGTGTGAGGGTGTGAGTATGTGTGTGAGTGTGTGTGTGTGTGTGTGTGAGTTTGTGAGAGAGCGTGTGAGTATGTGAGTGTGTGTGTGTGTGTGTGTGTGAGTGAGTGTGTGTGTGAGTGTGTGTGAGTGTGTGTGTGAGTGTGTGTGAGTGTGTGTGTGAGTTTGTGAGAGAGTGTGTGAGTATGTGAGTATGTGTGTGTGTGAGTGAGTGAGTGTGTGAGTGTGTGTGTGAGGGTGTGAGTATGTGTGTGAGTGTGTGTGTGTGTGTGAGTGTGTGTGTGAGTTTGTGAGAGAGCGTGTGAGTATGTGAGTGTGTGTGTGTGTGTGTGAGTGTGTGAGTGTGTGTGTGAGTGTGTGAGTATGTGTGTGAGTGTCTGTGAGTATGTGTGTGAGTGTGTGTGAGTATGTGTGTGAGTGTGTGTGTGAGTGTGTGTGTGAGTGTGTGTGAGTATGTATTTGTGTGAGTGTGTGAGTGTGTGAGTATGTATGTGAGTGTGTGTGTGTGTGAGGGTGTGAGTATGTGTGTGTGAGTGTGTGTGAGTCTGAGTGTGTGTGAGTGTGTGTGAGTGTGAGTGTGTGTGTGAGTGTGTGTGTGAGTGTGTGTGTGTGTGTGTGTGTGTGTGTGTGAGTCTGAGTGTGTGTGAGTGTGTGTGAGTGTGTGTGAGTGTGGGAGCGGTGGGAGCATGTGACAAATATATAAAGTTAAACAATATTCAGGGACTCGGAGGGGTTGCTTTTTTAATTTTAATTTTTCTAATTTTGGGGGGCGAGGGGTAGGCTGGGGATGGGGTGTGTGGGGCTTTGTGGGGTGTGTGTGCTGTCCTGAGACCACCCTACCCGCACAACCACCACCAACGCTACCAGTCGCTTAACACGCATGTTCAATAGTCACCTGGCGTCGAATAAGCATGGTCTCGCAGCTTGTCGGACACAAACACCGATCATTTTTTTAAATTACATCTCTCCTTCCCTTCATTGTCAATTAAATGTTCAGTGAATTACGCATTGACACTACACGCATAACTGTATCAACTTGCTTATATTTGTATCACATTACGAAAAGGTTAACACCCTTCCTTTAAATTGTACCAAACGCCAATCAAACGTAGGGGTTCCTGTTCAATATTTTATCTTCAATTACATCAAATCGCCCACTCCTAACTCCCAGGGTCTGTGACTTCCTACTTGGCTCATGTTCGGAGTTTGTCGACTGCAACGCCGCAGTCAGTCCTCACAGTCACTGTCAATCACAGGTACATTGAACCCAGGCCAGGTGTCACGCTCAATCTGTGGGAATGGTATTGCGACTTATCGCTAAGTGCTTAATGGGAAACCACTTACAATAAATGTTACCGTGAGTTGCCATAGCGACAGAGGTACATACTGTTTAATCAGTAGACAGTACGGACTCGCTCTCGCGTCATAGAGACTACTAAATGAGATTACAGTACTTGTACTTCCTTTACCAACACATTACATTCTGAACGTGCATTTAAATTGGTAAACCTGATGCCACTGTAAAGTTATAGGTAAATTATATAGCCTAGTGGATGTGCACTATTTACGTTTTGTCACTGGGTTGGGTCGTAGCGAGGACATTCGTGAACGATCGTACAGTTAAACTGTCTAACTTTTCTCAATGTATGATAAAACGCTAAGGTCAAGATAAAAGGGTCTTAAGGATCAGAAAAAAACGTTTTTGTATGCATTCGTGCTTGGGAATTTCCAGGGGTTTCCCAAAGAATGTGGAAGTAGTCCGTCGGTGTTGACGTCATTTCAAGAATACAGTCTCGTGAAAAACGTATGAACGTCAAATAATGTCGTTCATAGGCTTATGAACCTTAGTTTCGGGGTCATGTGACCGGTCTCTCTTCGAATGGAAAACCGTATATCGTGTTAACTTCAAATATAGAGATTATGGGAGCTCCGACGTTCATACAGTTAGGCTCTCACCCCATGAAGGTCCATTCTCCAATGAACTCACGCAATGAATGTCAATTCTTATATTTTGTATCACAATTTTTACCTCACAGGATGTAGGCCACGATCTAAACACAATGTCATTTAGTACGTATTTACACTGACAGCCATACAACAACTAGCTATATCGCGGACTAAAATAGTTCCTCAAAAAGAGAGGTGACGTGAGCGTCTGTATGCACAACTTGCTCTTCAGAAACATTTTACGCAACACATGTATACAATAATATCACTATTAGATGAGAAAGGTCTACTTTAGTACGTCAGTCACAATGACAGCGCGTCGTAATACATTTTACATCAAGTACAAGACGTCAAAATGGCCGACATGATAAACGTGACGGGAGAGATTTCGGAACTTGTTAATGTACCTGTGACGGTTGTATGTTTTAGTCATCATTGATTAATTGGCCGATCATTGAAAGGCGATTAAAGATGTGTCAAATAGACATTAGGGGAAACTCATAGATTGCTGTAGACTGTCACTGTCAGCCTAGATACGGATCGAGTCGATACTACGATAGTTTCGATTGGCATTTCTTCCTTTTGTTCACTAGGATGGGTCGTAGCGAGGATGTTCGTGAACGATCGTGCATTTAAACTCACTGACGTTTCTCAATGTATACCAAAACGCCGAGTTCAAGATTTAAGGGTCTAAATGATCAGACAGAATTCCCAGGAGTTTCCCTAAGAAAGTAGTCCGTCAGTGTTGACGTCATTACAAGAACACGGTCTCGTGAGAATCGTATGAACGTCACATCGTGTCGTTCATACACATATAAACGTCAATTTCGCGGTCAGGTGACCGACCTCTCGTCTAATTGAAAAACCGTATATCTACATACATACATACACACATACATACATACATACATACATACATACATACATACATACATACATACATACATACATGCACACAACTCTGCATAGCGAATCGCAGCGCGTTAGCGCGACTTGGCCACCCGTGCCCCCGGATACAAATAGAAAGAATACTATTGGTTGATTAGATCTTCATTACAATAAACCCAAAGATGCTATCATAGTCGTTGTATATTTTCTTATATCAAGGGGGCACGTGTGGCCCTGTCGTCTAAGGCGCCCTAGGGCACGCTTGAAACCTATGATAGTGGGTTCGAATCCCGGTTCGCCCCAATTATGTTTCTAGGTTTGTCAGCACCATACCCGTGCTCGTGGGTTTCACCGAAGTGGTAAACGTCTGAGACCTGCATCACTTCGGGCTTTCCTCCCACATTAAGCTGACACGCAGTGATATAACTGGAATAATGTTAAAAGCGGCGTTAAACCCCACTCACTCACGCACTTATATCAAACATGGTTGAATTCGGAGAAATCACGGGAATACGTAGATTCTGGAAGTAGGCAAAATATTCTCTTGATTTCTACCTTACTTATACTACTGCTACCGCCATGCCTGCGGATATCCATACATAACACATGAAACACACCTTTCACAAAGCCATTCTATGTAATTCCATCAAGCTGATAGCTGAAGCTATTATGCATCAATACATCACACGTCCTGTTCTGCAAGGTACCGACATGGGCACATGTTTTGCAGGGATGGTGGGACGATACCATCAGTACGCAGGACCCTAGAGATAATGTAAATGCTGACAGAGACACTGTTGTTAATGCACGACTGGATGCATAGTATAACAGGAACGACAGTTCAATGCCGAAATGGATCAATATTGCATTCCCTTTGAAATGAATATACGTTTCTCGAGGCAAGGGAGCTCACACTTCCCGAGGCAAGGGAGTTCACTCTTCCCGAGGCAAGGGAGTTCACTCTTCACGAGGCAAGGGAGTTCACTCTTCTCGGGGCAAGGGAGTTGGCCTCAGCCCACAGTTATCCCCCCTAAGTTTTACCATGAACCGGAAGGAAAATAGGAGAATATAGTGCCCTGTTCAAATGGGCTGTTCAGCCTGTGCCAATTTTTAGGAGTGACTTGTGATAGCTTAAATGAAAGATTAGACATTGTAGTATGTTGCCAAGGCCGCAAGTTGAAGGCCGCTCTGTGTGTTTCGGCTCGAAACTTCCGGTGAGCACTGTTGACAGTGGTTACCGCGAAAGGGGGCTGGTCAATACAGGCCGAAACTTTGTGTATTAAGTGACAAGTGGCAGGTTGGTCAGCATGCAACAGGAGAACGGCCTACGACCGATAATAATTATGGTGGGCTGTCATGTCACTGTAGATAGCAAAGAAGGAAATTAATTGTGGTCTGAGGCCATTTCACGTTTCCCGAGGCAAGGGAGTTCACTCTTCCCGAGACAAGGGTGTTCACTGACTATTAAACAGTACAGTGAAAACCGGACTTTTATAGTCAGTTACCTCCCTTGCCTTGAGGAGGATGCTTTGTTATGAAAATAATGGTATGGAGAAGTCACGATTACCACTCAATCCATTCAAATTCTGGAATCAACAGTGTCGAGTGATTTCTCCGACTTAAACCATGTTATGGTTGATACATAATTCATAATTTTGCATATTCTGATAATGACCTCCAGTTGCGTCGGTTTTATGTGTTAGAATTCTTGGTTCAGAATCAACTGCACCAATGGCGTGATTTCGTCGTGACGGTTTATCAACGGTGCCTTATGAATCATCACTGTCACATGAGTTTGTGAGTGTGGTTTATGTGGTTTAGAAATATTGAATAATATTACAGCGGGTGACTCCAGAAATGGACTTCACGCATTGAACCCATGATGGGAACGGAACGCCGGGCCTTAGCGTGACGAGCGAACGTTCCATCCACCAAGTTCCGCCACATTAACTTAATTGTCCGGAAAAGAGAGTATACACTCGTTAATTGGATTGCACCAAAAAGTGACAAACGTCATCAAAACGTTACTGGACTGGAGACAGTCGCCGAAACACTGCAAAGTTAAGGTCCAAAACACAACCATGACACCCGTATTTAATACACCTCCATCGAATAACCATTTATTTGTTTCTTGAATATAAGCCACCATCAAACATGAATCAATATTTTCTTTTGCCCCAATCTCATTAAAATCAGATCTTAGTTCGCGCTTTCGCTAAACAAAGATCTGAGGACATCCCATTACGGGTCACGTTAGAACGACCTTTCATCCAACCAATCAGAGCGTCGCTTACCAGATCATGAAAGTGACAGTCGTAATGTGTTTTCTAATCATGCAACCACAATATATATTATCACGGGGTATTCCGAACGACAGTTACGGGTTTTATGATTATATCCATACAATCTAGGCCATCTATAAGCCATACCAGAATGTTCTTCTTATCAGTTTTAAATTTTTTAATCGAGTATTTGTCAAAATATGTTTCGAAGAGTAGTCGCCAATTTGAAACTAGTGTCGTAGAGCTTGAGAAAGCTGCCCTCTGATTGGCCAATGTCGATTTCTTGTCAGTCATTTCATTGGTCGGTCAAATTTCGCGAAAGGTCATTCTGACGTAACCCGTAATGGGATGTCCTCAGATCTTTGTTTAGCGGTAGCGAAGACTAAGATCTGATTTTAATGAGATTGCTTTTGCCTGGCAGTGTATACGAACCTCTATACATTATCGAAAATACGCCCCCGACATTGGCTTTGACAAACTCTAAGAACGGTGACAGTTTATTTAATTTCTTTTCTTTCAATAGGCATCTCACCAGCCGATGTGACAGCAATGGAGAAAGTTAGGATCTGTGTTGGAGGGACTCATTTTGTCACTACCAGAGACACATTAAATAAGTATCCAAGAACACGATTGGCTGAACTGAATAAGTCATGTGATAATTTTGACGAATCAGAAAATGAGTATTATTTCGACCGGGATCCATCTGTGTTTGCTTGCATTCTCAACTTGTACAGGACAAAAGAACTTCATGTTACTCAAGCCTTGTGTGGGAATGCTGTCAGAAATGAGCTCAGTTTTTGGAAGATCCCTGAAACAGTTATCGCCCCCTGTTGTTGGCGGACTCTCCACCAGGTGGACCAGGACAAGGAAATACTGGATTCTTTGAATGAAGGCAGCAAGAAGGTCATGATGGAAAACACCTCTTTAAGGTGTTGTCAGTCTTTGCGCTTGCGTGTATGGAAGTGCATGGAACAGCCAAATTCTTCCCTGACAGCAAAGGTAAATCTTAATTGTGAATGTTTTTGTTTGTTTGTTGTTTAACTCCGCATTCTGCAATAATTTAGCAATATGACTGCTGCAGGTAAATAATTATGTCTGGAAACCAGTGGTTGATGTTATGAGCATGGTCCCACGTAGTTGAGGTACGATTACACCAATCAACCAAGTTACCGAGCCTGACCCCCGCACCAAACAGACCTTCCTACAACATGCATTGGATCCTGGGCATCGCTTCGGGGACAATGATAGATGAGAAGTGTGTGTTTGTTTGTTGTCTAACGCCGCACTCAGCAATATTCCAGCTATATGACAGCGGGTTGGACCAGACAATACAGTAATTGATATCATGAGCACCGATCCACGCAATTGGGATACGATGACATGCATCAACCAAGTCAGCGAGTCTGACCAGCCTGACCACCCGACCCAATTAGTCGCGTCTTACATGACTCATGAAAAGCATCGGTTGCTAAAGACCTATTCCAGATCTGCACGGATCGAGCAGTGTTTGCAGTTACCCCCGCATTTAAGCTAGTGACGTGCATGATTTATTAGATACTGTTCAAAGGAAGTTGGGGATCATAGGTATTTTGGGGGATATATTTATTAAATATCAATCTTCACTACAACAAATACAAATATACTAAAAAATATTCACGATCCCCAACGTTTAGGCTCAGTATATTTGGTCAGTCAGTTTGAGAGAATGTATGGTGATTTCAGAGGACGGGTGTACAATGTTAGACAGGCTCAATGTTGACTAGTGTTACTCGGGCGCTCCAGCCGAGGCGATAAATGGTTTAGAATTTCCCGAATGGACAAAAATCACGATTATAGCGTTCAGGCAACATCGTTTCTGTGAACCTCGTTCGTCCGATCGCTTGACGTTCCTTTTGTTGTTTGCTACTGTATTGAACCCCGAATATGTGTTATCTTTTTAAAAAAATGTTTAAAGATTACCTATTTCCTATTTCTGCATACATTGTGTAATTCTCTATATACGAAGTACGTCTTTGTTTTTTGATACTTGATTTGAGTTTTCTATTCAATATAACTTATTTCTTCTGACCAGGTCAGTTTATCATGATAAATGGGTAATTTATAAAATTCAGACTTGCGACAAATTAGTATTTTTATATTGTGTATGGAATGATGATCAGAAAGTAAAGAACTGTACTTGGTTTTAATCAGCAATTGTTTTAGTTGTTTCGTAGTATTCAAGTATTTCCCTTTGAATCAGTTTAAAATGACTGATTAATTCATTTCTACTTTGTAAATAATTTGTTTTGTGATTTACATTCACTGGATTGTTGTGTTTTCCTTTAAATCCAAGAATAATATTTTCCTTTGTAAATTGCACCTTTCCTTCCGTTATATTTCCAAGCCAACTGGTCACTTCCTTCCATACATGTATACCATACAACTTACCGAGGCAAGGGCGTTAACTCCATACAAGTGGAAATTGGACGTTTTTAGTCAATTAACTCCCTTTCCTCGGGAAGATGTCCATATACTTGTCACAAAACATATGAATGATTGTTTCAATTCACTTCTTTGCAGATTGGGCATAATGGAGAGTCTAATATCAAATTGTGTGTAAAACACTATTTGTTGTAGGCGTACTATGAGATATTTATTTTGAAACCATCTTAGATTATTCCTCGAGAATAGATTATTTAATTTTAGTAGGAGAAGAGATTTCAATACTACAGTTCTGCCTCCTCTTGTCAAAGTTCGAATGTTTTAAGTTGATCTGTAAAATTCATATTAACCATTTTAAGGAGTTCAATATCAAAATCTATACCTGATAATTTAAACTTTGTTTTGTGACCAATCCAGCTACTACATAGTTTATAGCGGCAAAAGTCCACATTAGATTAGTTTTTTCTGTCAGAAAATCCAGCAAAACAATTTAGCGTATTCATTGCTGCACAGAGGCATTTTGGGGGCACGGGTGGCCCAGTCGTCTAAGGCGCCGCGATTCGCTGAGCAGAGTTGCGTTTTTATCCATTTTTGAATATTTGGACCGAAATTAAAAATTGAAGCACGTTTTGAATAAAAGTCTGTTAATACCAGGAGTCCCGGAAGCTGATAAGATTCAGTGTAGTTCATCATATCATAAATAAATCTAGTTATTTTTCCTATATAACGCTGCCATGGACAAAACCTTTCCGATCTTCATTTATAATCAAAGGCAATAGTTTTTTAATCCTATTTAATATAACAGTTGATGCCAATTTAATGGGTTTATTTTATATATATATATGCTTAGGTCATTCCAGAAAAAGAAAAAAACAAAAAAAACTTCAAAATCTCTAAGTGGTACCGTAGCGTACAAGGCCTGGGCTTTTTCATTTGATATTTTTATATTGATTTAAGAGTTTCTTCATGTGCTAACCCCCGTTCCAAGGTTTGTGGGGCGGTCAGGTAGCCTAGTGGTTAAAGCGTTAGCTCGTCACGCCGAAGACCCGGGTTCGATTCCCGACATGGGTACAATATGTGAAGCCCGTTGCTGGTGTCCCCCACCGTGATATTGCTGGAATATTGCTAAAAGCGGCGTAAAACCTCACTCACTCACTCCAAGGTCTGTGAAACATTTGTCTTATTATTTTGACACTTCTGTTTCGGCAAATAGTTCAGAATGTAGGCTATCTTGAATTTACATGAATCCACATATTATTACCGATGGGATGAGACACACTACTGGAAACAATAACGCTTCTAACATGATATTTACATATCCTCAGTGATGAATACATATATAAATACCTTTCTTAGCTAAATATACAACGTGAACGCCAGAGAAGAATCAGTCCTGATTTTCTGACGAAAAAATTCCATTGGGTTCACAAGCCAAATTAGCACTGAAAGTTATATCAGGCAGTCAGTGAGTAGGGTTTTACGCCGCTTTTAGCAATATTCCAGCAATATCACGGCGGGGGACACCAGAAATGGGCTTCACACATTGTACCCATGTCGGGAATCGAACCCGGGTCTTCGGCGTGACGAGCGAACGCTTTAACCACTAGGCTACCCGACCGCCCCTGAAAGTTATGTGAATGGATCAGTGATGACACCAGATGTTCGCTCGCGGAAAGTGACAAGCATATCCTGCCCTACCAGTAGCAGCCGCCATTCCCACAATTTGCATAAAATTGTTGCCGGACTATTGATGGGCCTGGCTGTGTTTATTTTATTATGCAGCCTTTATATTATTTTTTTCTTTATGTGCCTATTCATTGATATATTTTTTTTAATTGTGTATGAACATTCATTGTATGTTCTGGCGTTTGTTATATATACTCTTCAAAAAAAGAAACTTGACATAGATGTAAAACCACTTTTTGCCAAACATCTAAAATAATTACATTAAATGAGAACCAAATAAGTCAAACAGAAAGGTGATGTGTCTATAATTCGCGAAAACACATGCAAAGCACATAAACGTAGCGTTTGGGGATCAATTTTACAGCTTCATTCAAACGCAACCGCCTGTAAAAAACGTTCAGCACAGGATCCTGCATTTAGGCATGCAGGCCCCCCTGCTGAATGGGTATAAAAATCCACATCAACGGCTGTTCATACAGTCCTTATAACGGCAGTAGAGGCGGTGACAGAATGCCAAGACTGAATGCAGCTCAACGGAACAACGCCATTGGGAGATTACAAGCTGGAGCAACTCAGCAAGAAGTGGCCAGGCACTTTGGCGTATCCAGACAGACAATCTCCGCACTGTGGACCCGATACAACAACACCAACAGAGTTGACGACAGACCAAGGTCAGGAAGACCAAGGGTGACAACCCAAGCACAAGATTGATACATCCGGCTTCGACACCTCCGAGACCGCACTACCACAGCCACGTCTACAACCACACTGATCACTGGGGTACGCAGAATATCAGATCAAACGGTACGCAACAGACTGAGGGAGGCTAGACCTTTTGCACGAAGACCTGTTCGACGTCATGTATTGACCCCACGTCATCTGGCGGACCGTCTGCTTTGGTGCCAACAGAGGGTTAGATGGGCACGTGCAAGGTGGAGAAATGTACTGTTTACTGACGAGTCCCGTTTCCTACTCACACGTGCTGATGGGCGCGCACGTGTCTACAGACGTCGGGGTGAACGTTACGCCCCCAACTGTGTGCAGCAGGTTGTCCCATTTGGCGGCGGGAGTGTCATGGTATGGGCCGGAATTCATCACGGTGGTAGGATGCCTCTCGTGCATGTGGCAGGTGCATTGACAGGTGTGCGTTACAGAGACTTGACCCTACAGCCTTACGCTCTTCCTCACGTCAACGTTCATAGCGGACAGTTCCAGCAGGACAACGCTCGACCGCACATTGCACGTGTTTGTCAGGACTTCTTACAGCACAACAACATCCAGACATTACCTTGGCCAGCCCGGTCACCAGATTTGTCCCCGATTGAGCATCTGTGGGACGAGTTGGATCGACCCGTTCGCAAAAGGAATCCACCGCCCCAAACACTTCCGGCGCTTCTTGATGCACTTCAGCATGAATGGCAGCACATCCAACAGCGTGTTATTGACAACTTGATTGCATCTATGGGTCGTCGGTGTCAAGCGGTGATTGATGCACGTGGTGGGCACAACCGATTCTGACATTTCCTGTACCCCTGTGACATTAACTGTATCGTGTACGTGTGTCTGTCTAGGTGACACGATTAATGTTTTGAACATTGTGTACATTGATCTTCAATTATGGTTTCTGTGTCCTATTTTGAAACAATCGCATTATATTACATTTTGAAAGTCAGTGTCAAGTTTCTTTTTTTGAAGAGTATATTTTCACATAATAGTTCTTAGCTTTTGACTCAGACATCACAAACACATAGCAGAGTACAGATCTTAGGTTACATTTGATTATGTTGTCTTTGATGTTTACAATTTCCTCTAGGACTGCGAAGAAATATGAACCTTAAAACTAATCAAAAGAGATACTTAGTTAATAAAGAGCCCTCATTAGAATTGGTCTTCAACAACCCATGCTTGTCTCCCTCTTTGAAGATCCGGGTTAGAATTGGTCTTCAGCAATCCATGCTTATCGTAATAGGCGACCACCCAGCGAGAACGGCTGGAAAGGATCGGTGACTTAGTTGATGCATGTCATCGTATCCCAGTTGCGTAGATCGATGCAATAATGGTTTTCCGATTCTCCCTACCCGTCTAAACGTCTAAGACCTAAATTGCCTCAGGCTTAATTAAAGGTGGCACACCGTGATACAACTGAAATACTGTGTGACGCCCATTTCTTGTGTCCCCCGCCGTGATTTTGCTGGAATATTGCGAAAAGCGGCGTAAAACCATACTCACTCACTCACTCAAAGCGGCGTTAAAACAAAGCCACCCACTTACTCTATTCTGACCATGTTTGCAGGACGTGTTTACCTTTTTCGCGAAACCCGGTGTCATAAGCGGTTTTCAGTGATCCATTCATATAATTTACACCACTATTTTGCCTTGTACGCCTAATGGAATCAGTTTCGTCGGATAACCGAGACTGGTTATTCCCTGGCGTTGACGTTTTAGATTTATAATTAACTCTAATCATAAAACATTGCTGTTGTGTTTCAGATCTGGAACGTCGTGCTGGCGCTGATGATACTCCTGGCGTCGATGGTCTATTGTTTGGACACAGAGCCAAGTTTTAGAATCATGCCGGAAAACGGGACCGAGGAGTACTGGACTTATGTGTACGCCCAGAAAACAAACATTGACAACAGAGTTCTTCTACTCCTCTTCACGGACTATAACAAAGTAATATATATACTGGACTTCGTATGTCTTATCTTCTTTACTGCAGAGTTGACAGTGCATCTGCTGGTCTGCCCAATACTACGTTTGTTCTTCTGCAGCATCATCAACTGGATTGACATCTTGACCGTTCTCATAGGCTGGTCTGTGTTTACATTGGAAGAAGCCAGCAATGAGGATCTGTTCGAAGATGTCAAAACCGCGTTTTATATCTATTTGGTCTTTAAGAGTCTCTATGCAATCCGAATTTTTAGGATTTTCCGCCTGATGCAGAGTAATTCCAACTTACGTATAATCTTTCTGTCCTTGATGGAATGCAAGAGGGAGCTCATCCTTCTCGTTCTTTCATTTTTCATTTTAGCAACAATTTTTGGATCATTCGAGTATTTTTGTGAAGGAACAAATGGCAAGTTTAAATCTATACCGCTTGCAATATGGTGGGCCCTGGTGACAATGACAACGGTTGGTTATGGTGACATGTACCCTACAACGCCCTGTGGATACGCCATTGGGTCTGTCTGTGCATTATTTGGTGTTTTAGCCCTAACACTTCCGGTTGCTGTTATTGCCACCCACTTCAGTGATTACTATGTAGTTAATCAGTGGAGGTCCAAGGCCAAGAAAAGAAAAGAACCTACTGTTATCTGGTGAGAGTGAGTGAGTGAGGTTTTTCGACGCTCTGAGCAATATCAGGGCGGGGGAACACCATACATGAGCTTCACACATTGTATACCTGTGGATAACAAACCCGGACCTTCGGGCTACCCAACCTCCCCGTTATCTGGTAAGAATGAATACCACATGCTTTCATAGTAGGAGCACGGACCGAACGTAGATTCTCCAAGAGAGAGTGATAACAGCTGATGTTGGGATTACACCATTGATTCTTCTTTGGTACTAACTTTTCAAGAGTCAGTTCTAAATGTTTACACTATGGAAACATCATTGGTTCCGTCTGTGATTAATTCTTCAAGAGTCAATGCTACATGTTTATTTTGTGGATATACCATTGTCTTTGTACTAATGCTTGCCGTAAAAGGCGACTATGCTTGTCGTAAGAGGCGACTAACCGGATCGAGTGGTTAGGCTCGCTGACTTAGTTGATGCGTGTCATCGTATCCCTATTGCGTGGATCAATCCTCATGATGTCAATCACTGGATTGTCTGGGCCAGACTCGATTATTTACAGACCGCCGTCATACAGCTGGTGTATTTCTGAGTGCGGCGTTTAACAAAAAAAAAAAAAAATACTTCTTCAAGAGCGGGTGCCAAATGTGTATATTGTGAACACACCATTGGTTCCATCCGTGCATTAATCCTCGCAGAATAAGTGCTAAATGTATACATTGTGGCTACGCAATGGCACTTATTCTTGAAGAAGTAGTGTTATATGTTTTTACTGTGAACATACCATTAGTGGATACACATATGCACTTAACCATGCACATCTTATGTTATATGTTTACACTGAGGATACATCACTGGTTCTTTTTTGTACTAATTTTTGGATGGGTGCTGAATGTATATATTGTGAACACGCTATTTAATCCGTCAGTGCATTAATCCTGCAAGAATTAGTGCTAAATGTACATATTATGAACACACCATTGATTCTGCCTATGTACTACGTCTTCTAGAATTAGTGCTAAATGTATACGTTATGAACACACCATTGATTCTGCCTTTGTACTACGTCTTCAAGAATTAGTGCTAAATGTTTACGTTATGAACACACCATTGATTCTGCCTATGTACTACGTCTTCAAGAATTAGTGCTAAATGTATACGTTATGAACACACCATTGATTCTGCCTTTGTACTACGTCTTCAAGAATTAGTTCTAAATGTATACGTTATGAACACACCATTGATTCTGCCTATGTACTACGTCTTCAAGAATTAGTGCTAAATGTAAACGTTATGAACACACCATTGATTCTGCCTATGTACTACGTCTTCAAGAATTAGTGCTAAATGTATACGTTATGAACACACCATTGGTTCTGCCTATGTACTACGTCTTCAAGAATTAGTGCTAAATGTATACGTTATGAACACACCATTGATTCTGCCTATGTACTACGTCTTCAAGAATTAGTGCTAAATGTATACGTTATGAACACACCATTGATTCTGCCTATGTACTACGTCTTCAAGAATTAGTGCTAAATGTATACATTTAGTACACACCATTGATTCTGCCTATGTACTACGTCTTCAGGAATTAGTGCTAAATGTATACATTTAGTACACACCATTGATTCTGCCTATGTACTACGTCTTCAAGAATTAGTGCTAAATGTATACGTTATGAACACACCATTGATTCTGCCTTTGTACTACGTCTTCAAGAATTAGTGCTAAATGTATACGTTATGAACACACCATTGGTTCTGCCTATGTACAACGTCGTCAAGAATTAGTGCTTAATGTATACATTTAGTACACACCATTGATTCTGCCTATGTACTACGTCTTCAGGAATTAGTGCTAAATGTATATGTTATGAACACACCATTGATTCTGCCTTTGTACTACGTCTTCAAGAATTAGTGCTAAATGTATACGTTATTAACACACCATTGATTCTGCCTATGTACTACGTCTTCAAGAAATAGTGCTAAATGTATACGTTATGAACACACCATTGATTCTGCCTATGTACTAAGTCTTCAAGAATTAGTGCTAAATGTATACGTTATTAACTCACCATTGATTCTGCCTATGTACTACGTCTTCAAGAAATAGTGCTAAATGTATACGTTATGAACACACCATTGATTCTGCCTATGTACTACGTCTTCAAGAATTAGTGCTAAATGTATACGTAATTAACACACCATTGGTTCTGCCTATGTACTACGTCTTCAAGAATTAGTGCTAAATGTATACGTTTTGAACACACCATTGATTCTGCCTATGTACTAAGTCTTCAAGAATTAGTGCTAAATGTATACGTTATGAACACACCATTGATTCTGCCTATGTACTATGTCTTCAAGAATTAGTGCTAAATGTATACGTTATGAACACACCATTGATTCTGCCTATGTACTACGTCTTCAAGAATTAGTGCTAAATGTATATGTTATGAACACACCATTGATTCTGCCTTTGTACTACGTCTTCAAGAATTAGTGCTAAATGTATACGTTATGAACACACCATTGATTCTGCCTATGTGCTACGTCTTCAAGAATTAGTGCTAAATGTACACATTTAGTACACACCATTGATTCTGCCTATGTACTACGTCTTCAGGAATTAGTGCTAAATGTATACGTTATGAACACACCATTGATTCTGCCTATGTACTACGTCTTCAGGAATTAGTGCTAAATGTCCATATTATGAACACACCATTGGTTCTGCCTATGTACTAAGTCTTCAAGAATTAGTGCTAAATGTATACGTTATGAACACACCATTGGTTCTGCCTATGTACTACGTCTTAAAAAAATAGTGCTAAATGTATACGTTATGAACACACCATTGATTCTGCCTATGTACTACGTCTTCAAGAAATAGTGCTAAATGTATACGTTATGAACACACCATTGGTTCTGCCTATGTACTACGTCTTCAAGAAATAGTGCTAAATGTATACGTTATGAACACACCATTGGTTCTGCCTATGTACTACGTCTTCAAGAAATAGTGCTAAATGTATACGTTATGAACACACCATTGGTTCTGCCTATGTACTACGTCTTCAAGAAATAGTGCTAAATGTATATGTTATGAACACACCATTGATTCTGCCTATGTACTACGTCTTCAGGAATTAGTGCTAAATGTCCATATTATGAACACACCATTGGTTCTGCCTATGTACTACGTCTTCTAGAATTTAGTGCTAAATGTATATGTTATGAACACACCATTGATTCTGCTAGGTTTGTCATCACCATACCCGTGCTCGTGGGTTTCACCGAAGTGGTAAACGTCTGAGACCTGCATCACTTCGGGCTTTCCTAACACATTAAGCTGACACGCCGCGATATAACTGGAATACTGTTAAAAGCGGCGTTAAAACCCAACTCACTCAATCACTCACTGTTACATTGAATATACAAGATAATGCACGAATGTACTCATTTGGTTTTTCCAATTTGACTTTATGCCTCTGTTACCATTACTGCGACGTCACAATAGTCATGGCGTTGCCTTGCGACGATGCACGGTAGCGGCACAGGAGCTGTCAGTGAAACACTTAATAGTCAGTTACAAAATCACAGATTTATCTGAAAGTATTGTTTTGTGTAATAAATAGACTTCAAACTTCATATTTTATTGTCGCAATGCCTTTATCCACGCAATTGGAATCGATGACATGCTTCAACCAAGACAGCGAGCCTGACCACACGATCCCGTTAGTCGCATCTTACGACAAACATAGTCGCCTCTTACGACAAACATAGTCGCCTCTTACGGCAAGCATGGGTTGCTGAAGACCTATTCTAACCCGGATCTTCACGGGTCTTATGCTAAAGATGAACAGGTTTGTCTGCTGACTGATTTTCGCGAATCTTGGACATATGGCATAGTGGCTCGTATCTGGTGCGTTTTTGCCGAGAAACAAGTTCTGAATACAATGGAAATAATACTCGTGATCCAGTAAGCAGTTTTTTAAGCAGGTGAGACATAGTTTTTAAAATAAAAAATATTACGATGTTATAGTGTATTAACAGGTGTGTCTGAAAATATGCAGTGTTTTGTTTGAATTTAATAAATTTTGACCTAAATTTGTTATTGTCTTAATTGCATATTCGTACTTTAATTTATGCTCATTTCATGTTAAACATTGGTTTATCTTACATTTGTAAATATTTACTCCCCCATCTAGGAATTGGTTGTCAAGTTCAGACTCTGCAATTACAAAATGTTTGGACGTTGTCTTGGCGACACTACTCGCCACCTGAGAATCTGTTGTAAATCATTTACATACGTATGTCCAGCAAACCGACTTTATTTCAAAGCATCTTCCCCCAAAATGTGCTTAAATGTCATTTTAGATTGACAATTTAAATGTTACCTTGATCTGGACTGATTTTGTTCGAGCATTCAAGGACTTCTTCACTTGGAGGGCGCTATGCGGCAATGTTTTGCCTTTTAAGCGGCGTGTTCTTCACGTCTAACAGTAAAGACAGTGCCATTTTTCACAATTTCATCTCAGATATTATTTCCGAAATGAAATCGACGCTTTAAACAAACGATGTAGGAAATCATTCATTTATGTGTTTACGTAAAGTAGCTACTAGCGGAGCAGACGACTAATGTCGTTTATGTGTTTGTTAGACAGATATTTTCAAAACATAATTACTGAAGACGTTTGTGTTATTATAATACCAGAATTGTCAAGACTGGATAGTATCAGGTCAAAATCTTCGTCACGCCATTCATCTTCGGGATCAGGATAGACATCATCAGAACTCCGTTTACTTCAAGTTTCCCATTCGTGACCAACTCGTGTTATTCCGGGACAAGCCGAATAGCGACTCGTGCCCCTCTCGTGGCCATTTTAGCGACCGGGTTCCGTCTTATCGCAAACGGGCATACCTAAAACGGTTATCTCCCAAAACCCCTACATCCCATTTCCCCTACAACCCAGTTCCCCTACAATTAGTTAAAACAACACGCGGCATTTACCTGTCTGCCACTATGAACTCACCTAAAGGAGAGATTAAGGTCTGGCGTAAAAGGTAGTAGAAATGAAAGGGGTAGAGCTTTAGGGGATAAGGGGACCTAAAGGAAAGTTAAAAAAAAGAAGAATTAATGTAAGTGTAATGAAAGATGCCTGTATGATGAGAAGACCATTTTCAGAAATTACAATGGCGTTTGGCAGTCTAGAGAGTCTCGAGGCCTTGCAAGTCATCTGAGATTCTATACATGGATGGAACGTTCACTGCCTTCCCTGGACTGTGGAATCAAGTGTACATCATCCATGCAAGACTCGGAGCCACGACCTATCCCCTCATCGTCGCCTTACTCCCTGACCGTCAGACAGACACCTACTCAAGACTCTTCAGGCTACTTAGGGATGAAGTTCAACAGAGACTAAACAGACCACTTGCCCTGTCATGCATCC